TTTCTTTCTTTCTTTCTTTCTTTCTTTCTTTCTTTCTTTCTTTCTTTCTTTCTTTCTTTCTTTCTTTCTTTCTTTCTTTCTTTCTTTCTTTCTTTTGTTCAGTTGTAGGACTTGAACTCTGGGACTGGGCACTGTCCCTGAGCTCTTCAACTCAAGGCGAGCACTCTACCACTTGAGCTACAGTGCCACTTCTGGTTTGCTGGTGGTTAATTGGAAATAAGATTCTTATGGACTTACCTGCCCAGGCTGGCTTTGAACCATGATCCTCAGATCTCAGCCTCTGGAGTAGCTAGGATTACAGGTGTGAGCCACTGGCGCTTGGCAGTGAGACTCTCATCTCCAATTAACGACTAGATAACTATACTGTAGCCTGGATACAGTAGTATTTTTTTTTACTAAATTTTCCCTGTTGAGTTTATTAGTGCATGCCAGATACTATATCTTCCTCAGAGTTTAATGCAAAAAGTGGCTTAAAAAACAAGCCAGTTTTGCAATATGTGAGTGGTATTTTTTGAGGCCAGAATAACTTTGATAGATTTCAGAACTAAGAGATATTTTTAAATCTTTGACACTTAAAACAGTATGCCACTATAGTGATGCATATTAAGTATCTATGCTTTTATAAAATAGATTTTTAAAAAATAAATGTTTCATTGATGTTTGGACTGATCTGTAACTTAAATACATCAGTGCAGTTTTGTAAGCTGTATAGCCATCATCAGTATACATGCTGCAGTAAATTCAAGACATTGCTTGCCAAGCGACTTATTACTTATTGAAATTGAGAACTTTTGGATGTGTAGAACATTTTTATATTCATGGATACAGAACTGAGGAATCATTTATTTTCATCAAATTTATGAACAATAAGTGGATGGATAAGGTTCATAGGAATCTTTGAACACAAGCATGAATCCCTGCAAAGTAGAACATTATAGCACTACATATTTGCACTCTATTTCATGGCAATGAATTTGGCAACATTTGGTCCAGATTATCCTTGGAGAGAGTTGTTTTTTGTTTTGTATTACCAGGGAAAAAAAAAAGCTTAGATTTTTGGCTATACTGAGTCCTTCCTAAGAGACTTAGTTTGTATAGGTACAAAAAGCATTCACAAATGTTTTCTGTTTTTCAGGCCCCAGTATTATAAAATAATTGAGGAGTGTGTTTCACAGATTGTACTGCACTGCAGTGGTATGGACCCAGACTTCAAGTATAGGCAAAGATTAGACGTTGATTTCACTCATCTGATAGGTATGGAAGGAATGCTATCCTTATGGTCAGTTGTGTTTTATACCCTCTATATAGTAGGTACTTTCTTAAAAGGTACACCTCTCAGTAAATTTCTGTTGCTTACTTGTACATCATTGTATTTATTTGTACTCAATTGCTATTAATTTTTATCAGTGGTTTATTGTTAAAAACATGTGAACCCACTTTTTGTTCATCATTGCACTTCAACATTTACACGCATCTATAATTATATACTGAACCTGATCATGTTATACAACCTCTCATCAACCACTAAATCAGTGGGAAAAAATACAGTGCCAAACCAAAATGCTATTAATTTTTATTAATGAGCCTGAGAGTTCTGTGATCAGACATATTAGCCTGCTTGATAATCTTCAACACTACTGAGGTTAATTTAAACTCAGATCCATACAAAATTTTAATATTATAGATGAGTGTTACCCTTTCAATATCCTTATGCTGAAATTGTTTAATTCATTTTTTTATATGTTTTTATTGTAAAAATACTGTACAGAGTGGTTACAGTTACATGAGCTAGGTAATGAGTACATTTCCTATCAAGCATTGTTACCTCCTTTGTTTTTCCCCTCCTACCTCTACAACAACAACACCCCCCCCATACCGCCTAAATTGTAAAGTTTGTTTTTCAACATAGTGTCTTGTGCATCTCATTGTTACAATGGGTCAGCCTGGCACCTATGAGATTTTTGTAGTGTTATTGTATGTACAGTAGGATCTCATTGGTAGTATAGCTATATTATTACTTCTCAAGATTGAAAAAAAAGAAATATAGTCTTATTTCAGCAAATTAGAAGAGTTGTAGATCAGAATTTAAGGTGATCTTATTCTTTCACTATGATTGCTGAGGAAATGTCCTTATATCATCATTAGTAGTTATCTAGAATAATGTTCAGTAGGTTGAAAAACTTAAGTAGGATTGGGAAATATGTGGTGCTACATGGCTTTGTATAGTAAAGTGGTTTTATTTATAGCTAATCAAAATAATCATTACTAAGGTTCAAACATTCACAAACGTCTTTAAAGAAGGAAAGGAACAGATATTGGATGCCAATTACATATTATTTTTCATTGCATTGCACAGGGTAGGCTTGCCATAATATTCAATACTTTATGTTTTTTTTGTATATCTCTGTTGATATTCATCAATGGAGTGTCATGTATGTAATATGATCTGTGCAAACCTTCAAAGTACAGCCCTTAATGTTTGCATAATACTCCACTTCATCGACTACCATCTACCTTAGGTAGTCCTTCATTATTACACATCTTAATTGTTTTCAGGTTTTGACAATTATAAATGAACCTTCTGTAAACATTTTTGTACATGAATGTTTGACTTTCATTATTTTCTTAGGGTTGACTGCTAGAAAGTTGAATATAAATTTTCAAAGGCCAAATTCTTTTCAGTCAGCTTATCCCACTTTACATCATCAGCAAAACTTCATATTTTTCAGTGAGAATGACTAACTGAATAGTTTTATTTTATATTTTGTAGAGGGAGTGATATGGGATTTTTCCCACATTACATACATTGGCTATGATTAAATAGAGATGTTAGTTGACACAAACTTTACTGTTGAATTTTGCTAGCTCTATTGAAGTTCAGCAGACATTTGCTTTGTGTGCTGTGTGCAAGGTACTTATGATTGTATGCTGCTAATCAAATGCATTGAGGAGGAGAGATAAAGTGATCAAATGAAACAGCCTAGCTAGCATTAAAATATATACCTTCTGTATAGAATTGTACTGGCAGCCATCTTTGGTAGAGATTTCATGCCATAATTTCTAATTGCACAGATTCCTGTGTGAACAAGGCAAAAGTTGAAGAAAGTGAACAAAAAGCAGCAGAATTTTCAAAAAAGGTAAGAAATAGTTCAATCAAACATTTAATCACAGTGTGTATTGTACTTGTTTCTTTATATGAAACCTTATAAATTGTTTTAGTTAGGTAGTACTTTGCTTTTCTGGATTCAACCATAACCATAGAATATTTATGTTCTAATGATAGAATACTATTACTGTTCTCTCTTCATTTCCTTTAATCTCATGTAAGAAGACAACTAGCCTCCATATTATATTAACAATGACACATCAAAGAAAACTAGGTTGCTGAAAGGACATAGTTACAAACAACTAAAACCAAAATGAAAAGAATTACCCAACTTTGGGGGTGAAGGTATGGCTTACTTGGTAGAATGCCAGCTAATGAGCAAAGAATCAGATGCTGAGTTGGAGTCCTGGTGTTTCAAAAACAACAAAAAAAAAGAAAGAAAAAGAAAAAAGTAAGAGAAGAAAAGAAATACCCAAGACAAACCCCCACATTGCTTTCCTGTAGCTTTTACTTGTATTAGAGGTCTGCAAGTTATTTACCAAAATTTTGGAGCTGTGGTCGTCAATAGGATATTGAATGGTTCTTCCTGATGCTTTGCTCCCTCTAGTTTAGACTCAATTGTTTGTAGTCACTACTTCTTTATATATAAGATACAGAGGGTTTACAGTTAAATGAGTAAGGTAATGAATACATTTCCTATTGAGCATTGTTACCTTCTCCTTTGTTTTTTCCCTACCATTCCTTCCCTCCCCACCTCCCCAACACCTCCCCCCCCAAAGTTGTAAAGTTCCTTTTCAATATAGTGTCTTGTACATCTCATTGTTACAACAGGTCAACCTGTATCCTTATTTCAGCATTTTATTTCCCTCCCCTTCCCCAAATTAGACAAATGTATATACAAGATGCAGGTTACTGAAATCAAATACAGTGAAAATAGAGTTTATACCATGGTGGAAGAACATACAAGAGAAACAAAAAAAATCTCACAGTACATTAAAAACAACAGTGACAAAGATAAAACCTCTTTTGTCCCTGTCTTTGGGGTTCATTTCTCTTGCATCATCTAATATATGGTCATAGCTTTTGACCTTTTCTGCTTGTTTCCTTAGATTATCCTAGATATTATACTAGTTATTGCAAATAAGGGATACCATGGGACCTATGTTTCTTTGGGCTCGCTTACTTCACTTAATATAAGATTCTGAAGCATACTCTAAAAGTTCTCCCATTTTCAGTCTTCTGACAGCATGATAATGTGCTTACATATTGCTTTCTTTTCAAAGTTATGACTCACCTTGGAGATTAGATAATCACTTTTGCTATCACTCTGGAAATTATAGACTTACTTTAGGGCATCTGGAGAAAATGTCTTTGCTCTTTTAGTTACCAGAATGGTTTTAAGAGCTTGAGCTTTGTGTATAATGTTTGTGTAAAGCTATCACTTTTACTGGCAAAGGAAAATGAATACTTTTTGATTAATAGACATTTATATTTTGAATGTTTGCTTTAAATACAACTCTTAGAATTTCTTCTGCAAATCTTAGTATCTCCTTAATTTTTGACTATTCCTTGGGTACATACGAGAAGATTAGAGCATGATTAAATCTGGTAATGTTATCGGTATACATATAATATGGGGAAGGAGTCATGATTTTATGGAAAAAATGTCAGTTTTTAATGCTTCAGTTACACCCCCTACATTTATAATGGAAATGTATTGAGGTAATATACTCAATACTTACATGTATTCCTATAGTTCTCTCATTTTAAGAGAAAGTGTAAAGTAGTTTTTACAAAAGTGTCAGTGAAATTAGTAGAAATTCTTTTAAGAAAGGAGGTATAGGGATGAGAAGAGTGAAGGAGAAGGTGAGTTTGATGCAGTGACTGCTATCTATCCATCAACCATCATTCATCCATCCATCCAAAAACCTCCCTCACTCTATCCCTCCCTCCTTACCTCTCTCCCTTCCTACCTACCTGCATATCAATGAAAACCTTATTGATACCCCCACAATTCATATACACTAAATATTTTTTAAAAATTTCTGGCAGGTGTTAGCATTTGAACTAAACTTCAAGTAAGCTATTTTTTTCTTTTTGGAGTTTAGTTTCTTCATCATCAAAAAGTGAATTCATGACAAAAACTCTTTTAGATGACATATTTCAGGATTTTGTGATTCCTATTCTGTATATTGACAGGTAACTTTAAGTTAAAAACAGAAATGTCATTTGCCTCTTTTAAATGTATCATTTATAGGGAAAAATTATATGCAGTGTGTTTGTGTTGATGCCATCCTTGAATACCACACAGGAGAAGTGAACTTTGAATGGTGGTATTTCACTATAAATTCAGATAACATGGGTAGTCATGAATTTGCAGATGTTCATAATATAGGATCTCTCTCTCTCTTAGATCATTTTAAAATTAAAAGATATTCAAGATGATTTGGACCAGTCTTTATGGAATATTGAGACATTGTCCAGGGATTCAAGTAGAGATGAGTAAAAGCCTTACTAATTTGTATTTCAAATTTGACTAAATAGTATCATCATCCAGTTTTCCTGGCTGCTTATAGATGAGAATAGCATTCTGAAATTTCCAAAGGTTAAATGAGGATGACTATTAACACTTTAAATAGTTTTTCATTGTTTGACAAAAGTATAAAGATCGATGCCAACAATAATTTATGTTTTGGGAACAGTAACAACATTGTTGGAATAATATGCAGATCTCTTCAATGACTTGAGATGACATTGACAATAAAAGACAAATAAAATGTTCTCTATCTGGACCTATACAGTATTCACTGTAATTGTGCTGGCCACTTTGTGCCTGCTTAGAGCTTGTACGAAGGTAAGAGGTAGGAGAAGTTATAGGAAATGTATATTCACTGTTTACATAGGATCTGGTTTCATACATTGTATTTTCACCTCTCATTTTCCATCTTTTTAAAAAGTCTTTCTCTTTTTCAAAAACTTATTATTAAGTAGTTGTACATAGGTGTTATGCAAGTCAGGTTGTGAGTATAATGTTTCTTGCTCAATATTACCCCTTCCCCCATTCTCCCCGTATTTTTCCCTCCACCATCTTTAAACAAATCCTCAAAGGAACAACTGCCCCATTAATAAGTGGGATAAAGACTAAAAGAGAGACTTCTCTGAAGAGGAAATGAGAATGCCCAATAGACACATGAAGAAATGCCCAACTTCTCTGTCCGTAAAAGAAATACAAATCAAAACAACATTGAGATTCCACCTCACTCCAGTTAGAATGGCTATTATGAAGAAAACTAATAACAACAGACGCTGGAGGGGATGTGGCCAAAAGTGAACCCTACTACACTGTTGGTGGGAGTGTAAACTTGTTCAACCACTTTGGAAAGCAGTATGGAGGTTCCTCAAAAGACTCCACATAGAACTCCCCTATGACCCAGCAATTCCAACTGTGGGCATTTACCCAAACAATGACAAACAAGGTCATACCAAAGCTATCAGCACAACCATGTTTGTTGCAGCGTTATTTACTATAGCTAAGATAAGGAACCAACCCAGATCCCCCTCAGTACATGAATGGATCAAGATAATAACATATATGTATATAAATATAGCCCCCACTCCACCCCCACACACAGTGGAACTCTATGCTTCCATCAGTAAGAATGACACTGTCCCATTTGTTAGGAAATGGATTGACTTGGAAAAAAATCACATTAAGTGAAGTAAGCTGGACCAAAAGAAATATAGGTCCCATGGTTTCCCTCATTTGCAATAATTAGTATACATGTAGGATAATTTCATCAGATGAACAGAGAATGTCAAAATATATATACATATGACCATATAAGATGATGCTAAGTGAAATGAACCCCAAGATATGGATACAAGCGGTCTTTCTTTGCTGTTGTTTTTAATGTACTATGTAATTTTTTTGTATGTTCTTCTCCCTATGGTATATCGCTGTTGTCACTGTACTTGATTTTGGTACCAGCATCTTGTATATACATTTGCCTAACTTGGGGAGAGGAAGAGGAATAAAAAAACTTTGAAACAAGGACACAGGATGACCCATTGCAACAGTGGTACAAGAAAGCATATTGAAAATGAACTTTACAACTTGATGGGGTGGGTGGGGGTAGTTTGGGAGGTGAAGGAGGGAAAGGATTGTGGGAGAACAACCAAAGAAGGGGTAACAGTGCTCCACAAGAAATGTATTCATTGCCTTACTCATGTAACTGTAACCCCTCTGTACAGCATCTTTACAATTAAATAAAATTAATAAAATTAATAAAAATTAATAAAAATCACTTTGAAAGAAAATTTTCATTCATCCGCACAGAACATTCCATATATCATTCTACTGTCATATTTTGTGGAACACTGCTTTTTTGATGCTAGGCAATTAAGATTTTCATAGAAACATTCTAGTTCCTGTTAATATAACTCATTTGTGCCTTCTGAAAGTTCAGTCTCTTCAAGATTAAATATAATTAGGGAGTTGAAACTTCTTAGTGGTATATATTTGGATTTCATGTTCTAGTATATTAAATGTAAAAAAGTATGGGTTAAAGGATTTGTACATACTCTATAATCATATTTTAAATACTAAAGCTGGAAAAGTACTCATAATACTTCAATAGACATTTCTTAGTCTAAATATTTAAAAAATATTTTTAAAAAAGTCAAATGGGTTTGCTTATCATGGATGGATGGAGGCATATTCTCTCTTAAGTATCACTTACCAAAGTGGATACTTAAAATTCTTAATAGTTCTAATTTTCAGAGTGATTTTTGGACCAGGCTAAGCATTCCACTTGTTTAGTACATATTGTTTGAAGCTTTCTCAAAAGTATATTCTTAGCTGTATGTTTATCATGTTGATCATTGCAGTTCGATGAAGAATTCACCGCTCGACAGGAAGCTCAAGCTGAGCTTCAAAAAAAAGAAGAAAAAATCAAAGAGCTAGAAACAGAAATCCAGCAACTTCGAACCCAGGTAATGAAACTAGATATAGACTTTATCATGTCATAGTAAATTGGATGGTAGAACATTATCTTTTTAGATAGAAAGAAAATTGTGACTGGAAATAGGCTATTTTTAACTGTTTCTCATTTACTTGAAATAATTATAAATTTGATCTTCCTGGACAATATATTGTTGTAATGTTTAGAAAAAAAATAAAGCATCAATTTCTCAAACTGTCCTGAATTTTTTTAACAGAATATATGTAACAAGCAAAATGTTTTTGAGATACAGTTTTCATTGTAATATGAAAAATTGGGTGTATAGTATTTCATTTCCAAAAGAAGATGGAAATGCTCATTAATTTTAATTATCCCAAAACCTTTTTCAGATCCCTTTTTAATCTAAACTACTGCCATTTGAAAACCTATGCACTTTATATTTCCCTTGGATGATAAGCTCCTGTATGCATTTGTAATCTTATTTATGATGTCTAAACTTCAGAATAGATTGAGTACCCTCCTCAATATACTGTATGTTTTAAATGAATATTAAGAAATGAGAGTATGTTTACATAGTGAATGCTCCTTTGGAGTGGTTGATTTACTATGTCTTATCCCATCAATATATTGAAAAATTCCTTACTGGTATGTTTTCCTGCCTGTGTCCTGCTTTATTAATGTACAATATTTTATCATTTCCTTATATCATGTGATTTCCCCTTTTAAATGAGAATTCAGTATCTCTTTAGTTTGGCATCCCCTCTTTTCTGTTCTCTGCTCTTCTTTTTTTTTTTCCTCCTCTATGTATATCTTGGCACAGACATCCCATTTGGTGTTGTATTGTGAAATATCACTTTTTAGTAAATGTCAAGTCTTGTGAATCTGTCTTCCATTTCTAGCTATCCCCGTAGGAATGTTCTGCTTCATGTTGAAATCAAGCTATATTTATTTTCTTCCCTCCCTCCTTCCTCACATCAAAGCTTGGTCTCCGTTTTTTATTTTGTTGTTTTTCCTTTATAACAGCAATGTTGGTATGTTCTTTACCTTTCTCTGTCTTTCTAGACAAACTAAATTTATCTCTGTTTAATGTAAATTGATTATCTGACTTGTCCCCCTCTTGGTTCAAAATCTCATCCCTTAAACTCATACCCATTACACTTTGCCTGCACTGTTACAAAAGATACTTTTCTTCCTGTCTCTTCCTCTTCAAATTCATCCTTTATGGGAGAGGAGATTAATCTTTGTAAAAACAGTATTATTACTCCAATAGTTGTTACTTGTGGTATTAAAATCTCCTTGCCAGGAATTTTAAGGTATTCTGGCATGGCCTTATCTGCGCTTTGTAGCATGGTTCCTGATTATACCTCTAACTACAATCTCTCCTGCACCTGAGTTACATTTTCTTGTTCGTCTATAAATTTCTGCTTATATACTTTTCCTTCTATTGATATTTCCTATACGTTAGAGTTTTTTTTACTAAACTCCATATTTTGAACACCTGAAATTCTTTCTTGGAGATTTATAATAGTAACTTTAAAGAGTTTCAGATAGCCTACATTGAAAAAGCTGTTCACTGATCAGCTGGTGTCTCATGCCTATAATCTGAGCTACTCAGGACACTGACATAATCTGAGATCTGAAGATTGAGGTGTAAAGCAAGCCTGGGCTGAAAAATCCTGAGAACTCATCTCCTCCTAAGCATCATAAAGCTGGAAAGAGAGCTGTCGCTCAGTTGGTAGTATGCTAGCCTTGAGCAAAAATGCCAAGGGAGAACACAAGGCCCCAAGTCCAAGCCCCATTGCTGGCACACATGCATAAATGATACTCTTTTTCATATAACTTTCTGGTTCCTTTGATGACAAAACAGTTTATATCCAAATGTATTAATATCTGATGGAAACAGACTTTTCATAGACCTGAGAACATTGAGCGTTGTTGGCTTATTTTATTCCATGTTAGAAAGACTAACTATTGCTCATCTATGCATGTTAAACATCCCCTTTGAAATTGAAGCTCCAGCCTACCACTAAAGTCCTATTTTTATTGTTGTTGTTGGTCATGGGGCGTGAACTCTGGGCCTGGGCGCAGTCCCTTAGCTGTTCAGCTCAAGGCTAGTGCTCTACCACTTGAACCACAGTGCCACTTTCGATTTTCTCATGGTTTATTGGAGATAAGAGTCTCATGGACTTTCCTGCAGGGACTGGCTTTGAACTACAATTCTCACATCTCAGCCTCCTGAGTAGCTAGGATTACAGGCGTGAGCCACCAGTGCCTGGCAAGTCCTATTTTAAATTCTAACATTTTATACTTTTATAATCTTCATAGGAAATATTTAATAAAGCTAATATTTGGCCAATGTTTATAAATTTACCATTTTATAATTTTAATTTACTATCTATTAATAAAAATATGGGAGAAAATTTGCCTTTCAAACTACTCAGAAAAACCCATTTGAATGCAGAACCTATAAAATAAATTGCTAATTTCCTAAACTTTCATCCATTTTTAATTTCTTTAATCTCAGTCAAGTCTGTGAAAGTCAGACATAATTTTGCACATTAACCACAAAGTTAAAAGAATTTTTCATGTTTTCATCCTGTCTTATATTTCCTGATCTCAGAATATAATATCCTTCTAGGAGAGGATTTTCATTTAAGGATTAGAAAGACTTTACCTCTATATTTGGTGTATGTACACACATGCATATTCACATTTATGACTACAGTGAATATTATGGGCAACATTTCCATAATCAAATATACTTATGAATGAAAAAAATCTTAATATTTTTGTTAATAGGAATGTCATTTAAATTATTTCCAATATATGCTTTAACTTATTTATTTTGCAGAGATATTTGTGAGTTAGCTCTATTCAATATTTCAAGCTAAAACTTCATTTTAGTAAAGACTAAAGGACTTCATCACAAATAAAAATAACATACCAAGAAATTTCTTTTGTTTTAAAGCTTTCTAATGTCATATTGTGGTTACTAAAGAAGTCTTTGTATTTATTGTTTCCAAATTAGCATGTGATTAGTAACTCTTAGAAAATTGGTGTAGATTTTATTCATCAAAAGTAATATTATATGCAGTAAAATGTTTTCCACTGATATTAGAGAATCAACTTAGTTTTTCCACAACAGTAGAAGTAATATTTTCTGCTCAAAATTTATTTTTTGACAAATGATAACTTTTCATAAATTAGTATACAGTGAATATTATGCTGTACTGGGAATAGCAGAATTGCTCTGCAGAGAAGTACATTCAAATTTTAATCACTTTTCTGACTGTGCAACTTTGATTTTTCATTAAGATTTTTGTACTTACTCTTTTCTCATCTATCAGCACTGAGGTGAAGGTGAGCTCAAAGTGCCCCATCTGCATTACAAGGTTTATATAAAGGATAAAAAGATATAATAGATGTAAAAATGTTGATAAGGCACATAATTACTATTTAGATGGATTCTACTTAGTATTAATCATTGGTATTAGAAGACAGCTAGGTCAGTGGTGCTGTGAAACACTCCTGTGTAAAGGTAATTGGCCCCCACAGGAATTGAATCCATGAACTTGTTTTAGATATTATTTACTTAATCAAAATAGTCCAACAGGAACAAGCTGTATATACTTCTTTGAACGTATTCATAATGAAGGTTATTTTTTCATTGTTTTAGAGGAATATTTTGCAAAATTTTAGCGTTAACTTCTCTAGCATTTAGGTCTTGCTGTAATTACTGTCTAGTTTATAACATTTAGGAAATTTTCTGTATAAAGTCCCTTCCATAATCTTTTAAAGCACATAATATTAAACATGAAATAAGACAGATATGTTAAAGCACAAATGTCTACCTATGTATATTCTTTCTGCTGCATTTTCTTACAGACATATAATCTTGGATCATTTCTTTTTCAGGTATTCTCTGGTTCATCTGGTACTACAGGGCCTCCCCCAGCTCCTCCCATGTCTGGTGCTGGGCCATGTTCACCACCACCTCCACCTCCACTTCTACCTGGAGCAGGTCCTCCCTCCCCACCTGGAATGCTTGGTAGTCCACCACCACCACCACCACCTTTGTTTGGGGGACCTCCTCCACCACCACCTCCCCCTGGAGGAGTGTCTGTGAGTCTACCATATGGAATGAAACAGAAAAAAATCTATAAGCCTGAAGTGTCCATGAAGAGAATCAATTGGTTAAAGGTAATAATAAAACTTAATAATATTTTGCCTTTTTCTGGTCATGGTTGACCATTAAGGTATGACAAGTGCTTTGCTATGTGTAAATTCTCCAGAATGTTTGAGATGGTGTTTGCTAACTATATTGCTTTCCTTTGTGAGGAAAACAATCATGTTATCTGATACCCAGATAACATGAGCTAACCCTGCCTCCAAAATTATGAGGAAGGCAAAAGGAAATTAAAGGATATCGATATAGAGACTAATACAGGAAATACACCAGCAAGTGAATAATGGTTTGAATTGTTTGAATTCTTTTAACATTGTTAATGTTCAGTACTATAGCTTGTATGTGGTGTTGTGGGGGATTGGTTTCTTAGGCTTGAACTCAGGTCCTGGGATCTGTCCATGATTTTTTGTAGTCAAGACTATCGCTCTGCCATTTGAGTCATAGCTCCTCTTCCAGCTTTTGTGGTAGTTAATTGAAGATAACTGCTATCTTCAGTTCTTAGTCTCCTGAGTAGCTAGGATAACAGGTCTGACCCACTGGTACCTGGCTAGTAGTATAATATATGCAGATATATACATATATACAGCTACACATATATGTATATATCTACATATTACAGCTACACATATATATGATATATAAGAAGATTATAATATAACCATTTTTGTTACTGAACCTTGTTATCTTAGTGAATTTTGCTAATAGCAAAATTCTGTTTTTAACTTTAAGCTTTCAGATAGAATAGGTAACAATATGGAATATTCATATAACTTATTTTTCAATGGATATGATGTATGAAAGTACTTTGCAATGAATTTTTTGCTTTGTTACTATTATCAAACAATATGCTTCCTTTTTAATAACTACAGAGATTTTCAAAGTCCTCTTTCATCATTGGGAATTTCTCTTCTAATGGAAAAACATTTACATATGTCCAAGAACATACCTAAAGTGATTCCTCACATATACATGGTCTCAGATTGTGGTTGTTTTTAATTAAGAACGAGCCACCAAATATTTAATTAAGAATGAGTCACCAAATATATGATCCATAATCTGTGGTTTTACTTATCTATGTAAGTGTGATGAGACATTCCATTATTTAGCACATGTTGTCATGATATTTACAGTTCATAAAAGCATTGTGTTGCCATGAATATAAACAGTTCTCTGAACAAGATGTTTTAGATTTAAATCCTAGCTCTGCCATTTATTAGTTTGGGAAGCTTCCTTTTTTTTAAAGTTTTGTAGTAATAATAGGTTCTATATTAAAGGTTTATTGTTAGGCTTGGGTAAGTTAATGTGTCCAACTCATTTACAACAATACCTTGGCACATAGTATGAAATATTATGTTTATTGCCTTGAATTTTATCAAGGAATATAGGAAATTAACTTTTCTGAGTCTCTGCTTTCCAGTTTAAAAAATCAGCAATAAACAAGAATAATGTATGTGAGTTGAAGGGGATTTACTAAATTATTTTCAAGGTTCCTTTCCAGAGAGTTATATTTTAAATATAATTTTATAAATGGCCTATTGCTTTAGTTTAACTTTCCACATACAAGTAGAATTCTGACAGTTTTTTAGTGAGTATTTATTTGTTTTAAGAGAAATCTGGCAATTGTTTTAGTAGATAGATGAAATGATTTACATTTAACTCTACTGAACATGAATTCTTTGAAAAGTAGTAATAATTTAGAAAGTAATCTTGATTATTTGTGTTTCAGATTGAGCCTAAAGACTTATCTGAAAACTGTGTCTGGCTAAAAGTAAAAGAAGAGAAATTTGAGAATCCAGATCTTTTTGCAAAATTGGCCTTGAATTTTGCCACCAACATAAAAGGTACATTTTACTTTTTTCAAAATATAGGTTTTCTGTTCTGATGTATTGGAATTTAATGCTCTGTTAAACATATATTTCTAATACTGTGTGTATGTGTAATTTCCTCAATTGTATAGAGTCAAAGATAGATTAACATTAATTATGATTTATCCAGGAACTAAAGGAAATTTTCTTGTTAATTTTTTTATTTTATTGTTAAGATGTTGTATGGAGGGGTTACAATTACATGAGTAAGGCAATGAGTATATTACTTGTAGAACATTGTTACCCCTTCCCTTCCTTGTTGTTGTCCCTTCCCTCCCTCAGCTCCCACACTCCTATCCCCCACCCCTCTTCCCACCCGAAGTTGTAAAGTTCATTTCCAATATACTGTCTAGTAGGTATCTTCGTTGCAATGGGTCATCCTGTGTCCTTATTCCAGATGCCCCTAAGTAGATAAATGGATCAAGAAAATGTGGTACATATATACAATGGAATTCTATGCTCCCATCAGAAAGAACAACACCATCCAATTTGTTAGGAAATGGAAAGACTTAGAAAAAACCATATTAAGTAAGGTTACCCTGTCCCAAAGAAATTTAGGTCACATGGTTCCCCTTATTTGTAATAACTAGCATCCATATAGGATAATCTTATCAGATGAGCTGAAAAGCTCAAAAACCATGTACAAATGACCATATAAGTTGATGCTGAGTGAAATGAATCCCAAGGGGTCTGTCTTTATTGTTACTGTTTTAAATGTACCATGTGCTTTTATTATTTTTATTGTTGTTGTTGTTTGTGATGAAGAAAAATAATTTTCCCTTAAATGCGACCTAAAAAGTCTAACAGAGAAAAACAGTAGTGATTTTCCACATTATTTTCTAGAAATAGACTGCTTCTAGATAATTACAGCGTTTATTTCTTATTCCTTGCTGTCTTCATTAAAAACACTTTGAGTTGTTTTTATGTACCACACACAATTCAGTGTTATGGACCTATCTTATTTCATTTGCCCCCCCCTCCATTAGTTAAATTTAGATTAATTTCAGTGTTTTACTACTTCAAAATCTGCTGTGGGAAACATGTTGCTATATATGCCTTTGTGTACAAATGTGAGACTTATCTGTGGATGAATTCTAGAAGCAAAGCTGTTGGAACACTAACATGATGCCATAAGTACAAAATTTACACTTGACCTCATGTGGCAGGTTGTAGTCAAAACATACGTGCACCAAAACATTTGGTAGAATTGTCTTCAGGCCATATATATATAAGATACACATATACACATACACACATATACATAGAAATATATAAATGTGCGCTTGAACAGCTTTTTTTCTATTCATAGCCAAGTTTTATCTTCTTTTACTATGCATTTTCTCCAATTCTTCCTACATTTTTTATTGAACAGCTGTTCTTTTACTAATTGATTTTTTTCTTGTATTGAGTCCTATATGAAACATACATTTCATAAAATTTTGCAGTCAGCTGGGACCTTTACAAATGATTAAACACACATTATATTACACTTGGAAAAACAAACTGATGCTAGAGATAGAGGGGAAACTATCAAAAGCATTATAGCAGACTTGCTCAAGTTACTGTGTGATTTAAAAGCTAGATGCAGTGGAGTCCTCCATACTGCCATTCCAGCAGTGTTACTTGTAAGTGATTGAATGTTTTCATCCATAAAGTGAGTGGAACAATGTCTGCCTAGTAGTTCTGTGAGAGTTAAATAAGGTTATACCAACACAGTGCTTGGTATTTAGCAGGCAATTAATAAACATTAATTTGCATTTCTCCTTCATTTATCTCATGTTGTGTGTATGTTTATTAAGTAATTGACAATTAATACAGCTATTAGTTCAGCAAGAGGATTTCCTGCTCTTCTGTGTAGCTCATCAGTTACAATAGAAGCAACTCTTCTTGCAGCTGCAAAAGCCTAATCAAATCGAAGTAAAATCAAACAAAACTCACTTACAGGCACTCGTGTTCTCACTGCTGTGAATGCTGTATTGCTATTACTGTTTACTTCTCTAAATTTTCTATGTGATATTGCACTTCGTCTCCTAATTTTGAATGCTTAAGTGCATATCAGGCTAGGGGCATCTTTTAGCACCACTCTGAAGGTATATTTAAGAGTTCGGTTAGGTATTATACAATATCCTACACATATTGAACATGGTCAAATCACATTTTAATGACACAAAACTGTCATTTAAAAATATCACTCAATAACTATCCTGTGATCTTCCTGCAGTAGCTGACGTTCCCTGCCACTTCTCTTGGGTTTGATTCAACCTTTGGCCAATAGCTGGCAGTCTGAGTAAGAGATCATCTGGAGGCTGTGGCTCCAGCAAACTTGGACCTCTGCCCTGGCTTCCCTACCATAAGGCTTCACTTCCCAATCTGCTGCTCATTGCAACTCATTGAGCTGCCTTTTGGAATGAGGAACACATCCTTTGTTTCTAAGACTTTTTTCCAAAGCATTTAGACTCAGTCTTCCTTAACTTTAGAAATATTCCCTCTACTACCAGGGTGTTGGAGAGTTCATTTCTGTATTTTCCCTAGATGTAAAATATTACCAGTCTGTGTTTTCAAGACAATGTTTAAAAATTTAAAGTAGCTTAGAATTATGAAATAGAAAGCTTTAAAAATATTCCAGTGCTAATATTTATAATGTTTAAGTGTGTAAATATTTAATATTTGAAAGTGCCATAAAATTATACTTTCTATTTGAATTAGTTATTCTTAGAAGGTTTATTTTCATTTTGTGCCAGAGCTAGGGCTTGAACTCAGGCCCTGGGCACCATCCTTGAGCTTCTTTTGCTAAAGACTGGTGCTCTACCACCTGGGCCACAGTACTACTTCTGGCTTTTTCTGTGTATGTGATACTGAAGAATCAAATCCAGGGCTTCATGCATGCTAGGCAAATACTCTACTACTAAGCCACATTCCCAGCCATATTAAAGTTTTAGAGGAAATACTTTGAGAAAAGATTATTTTTGTGTTTGGGGAGGACAAGTCTTTCATTTAGCCAATAGTTGAGTACCTACTATGTGCAAATGTGAGTGAAAGAAATGAATAACTTCTGAGCACCACAGAGAACCACACAGTGAGGGATGTAGGAAGTGGACACTGACTGTATTTAGTGGAGTTGGAGTGAATTTTAGAAGTAGTTAATATTGAGCAGGGAAGATTGAGATCTCATCGCAGAAGTATATAATTTGAGCTAAGCCTGAACATTTAAGTAGAATTTCAATCAGGAAAGAGGCAATTCATCTCAGGGAATGCTGTTTGCAAAGTTTTTTAAAAAAGTTGTAGACAAATTTAATTTAGCAGAACTTATTTGAGTAAATACTGATTTTACGATACAATCATGTATTGTACAGCACTCAGAATCAGAAGAGGGCCTAAGAATTCCACCCAACAGTATGATCGATGATCAGCATTTGCAGTCTAATTATGGAAACAAAGGAGAGAAATCTGCTGCCTAACTGTACTTAAGCATATGCCTTAGTTTGATATGATGTGTTCACTTGGCTACCTATGATTTGCTGAAGGTTGGATGTTTGTGGTTAGCTGCATCTTAGCCATTTATTAAAAATTTACTACTCCTAAATTACTATTTATGTAGGTGTCTGTATAGTCCTGGAGATTAAATCCTGGGCATGTTAAAAAAAAGTATTCTACTTCTGATCCAGGCCTCCAGCTGAGGTTTTGGTTTGTTAAGGTACTCAAGATTTCAGGTACAGCTTTAGGCCTATTACTTATTTAACTGTGGGGAAGGAAAAACACATGGCACTGAAAGCAGGACAATAGCATTTGGTGTTTACACGGGGGAGTAAGAAAACATGAGGTGTTAAGGAGAACTTCACACTAAATCTGTTTTTTTTTAAATTTAATTTAATTTTATTTGTGAACATACTGTACAGAGGGGTTACAATTACATGGGCAGGATAATGCGTACATTTCTTACCAAGCATTGCATCCTCCTCCTTTGTTTACCCTTCACATCCCTTCCTAGCCTCCCCCCTCCCCCCCAATACCAATCCTTCTCCTTCCCCCCCTTCTTCCCCCCCCCTTGCCGGGCCTTTTTAAGCTCGTTTTGGACATGACAACTTGTACTTCTCATTGTTGCAACAGGTCCACCTGTATCCTTAAACAACTGGTTTTTCCCCATCTCCTCCACAAGTTATACTGACATCAAATATAGTGAAAGCAGGGGTTATACTGTGGGGGAGGGACATACAAAGCAACAAAGAGATAATCTTATAAATGCATTAGAAACACATGCATGAAAGGAAAAAACATTAAAATACATATCTAAGGGTTCATTTTCCTGACATCACATTATCTGACCTTTTCCGCTTGACTCATACATATACTAGATATTGCATATAAGGGAAACCATGGGACCTATGTTTCTTTGGGCCTGGCTTACTTCACTTAATATAATTTTTTCCAAGTTTTTCCATTTCCTAACAAATGGGGCAATGTCATTCTTTCTGATGGAGGCATAGAATTCCATTGTGTATATATACCACATTTTCTTGATCCATTCATCTACTGAGGGGCATCTGGGTTGGTTCCATATCTTAGCTATGGTAAATAATGCTGCAATAAACATAGTTGTGCTGGTAGCTTTAGTGTGGTCTTGTTTGTAACCATTTGGGTAAATGCCCAAAAGTGGGATTGCTGGGTCATAGGGGAGTTCTATGTGAAGTCTTTTGAGGAACCTCCATACTGCTTTCCAAAGTGGTTGAACAAGTTTACATTCCCACCAGCAATGAAGTAAGGTTCCCTTCTGTCCACATCCTCTCCAGCATCTGTTGTTGTTAGAGTTCTTGATTTTTGCCATTCTAACTGGGGTGAGGTGATATCTCAATGTTGTTTTGATTTGCATTTCTTTTATGGCTAGGGATGTTGAACATTTCTTCATGTGTTTATTGGCCATCCTTCTTTCTTCTTCAGAGAAGTTTCTCTTTAAGTCTTTCGCCCACTTATTTATTGGG